TATGCAAGGACTTGAAACATTGTGTCAGCTATTGTATTAACTTGGTCTGGCCTGAAGCTCCTGCTAGCAAACTTGCAACATTGTATAAAATATTCTGGGCCCTCAGAGTTTCCAGCTCTGGTGAGCTCTAGACAGACAGACACAGCTGTAGGCTATTTTCGAAATCGAAAGGAAGAGAGCTGGAAAGATTTTTCAAATAGGCTATTTTTCAAATAGGCTATTTTTCAAATAGGCTGTGTTGAGGAACAACTGTCATTTTCAATGGATGTAAAAGCAGACTTTGTTTACTCGCTGCTTGAGGCGAAGAAATAATTACTTTGAGAAATTCCACAGTGATGGTGAGTTAAGACAATTATAAATAGTATTAGATCCTCAAATGGGCACAATTATAGGCCTACATTTGCTCACAGACCAAGTAGACTAGTCCTACTTCTATATGCTTAATCACGTGCGTGTCCTTTACTCAAGATTGACAGGAGCACTCCAAACAAAATAATGAATAAATTGACAACTCGTAAATGGAATGAAATAAACCAAAACTTTTTTCTCACAGCCTAGGTTGTGCGCTCTGCAAACAACGTGTCCACTCCTACAATGACAATGATAAGACTGTAATAATAATATATTGAATTAATTAACAGAAATTATCGTAACCAAACAAACATTGTAGATTAGAAATTATGGGAATTAACTGTAAATGTACTACTGGTGATACTGGTGTGCCATCCCTGCGGCCTCCGCAATGGATTAGCCCACTCAGACAGGCGTGAATCAGACAGGTATCTTGTGTGCCATAATTTTTGCGGACACCCCTTCAAATTAGTGGATTAAGCTATTTCAGCCACACCCGTTGCTGACAGGTGTATAAAATTTAGCACACAGCCATGCAATCTCCATAGACAAACATTGGCAGTAGAATGAAGAGCTCAGTGACCTTCAACGTGGCACCGTCATAGGATGCCACCTTTCCAACAAGTCAATTCGTCAAATTTCTGCCTTGCTAGAGCTGCCCCAGTCAACTGTAAGTGCTGTTATTGTGAAGTGGAAACGTCTAGGAGCAACAACGACTCAGCCGCGAAGTGGTAGGCCACACAAAAACGTCTGTCCTCGGTTACAACACTCACTACCAAGTTCCAAACTGCCTCTGGAAGCAATGTCAGCACAAGAACTGTTCGTCGGCAGCTTCATGAAATGGGTTTCCATGGCCGAGCAGCCTTAAGATCACCATGCGCAATGCCAAGCGTCGGCTGGAGTGGTGTAAAGCTCGCCGCCATTGGACTCTGGAGCAGTGGAAACGCATTCTCTGGAGTGATGAATCACGCTTCCCCATCTAGCAGTTTGACAGACAAATCTGGGTTTGACTGATGCCAGGAGAACACTACGTGCCGAATGCATAGTGCCAACTGTAAAGTGGTGGAGGAGGAATAATAGTCTGGGGCTGTTTTTCATGGTTTGGGCTAGGCCCCTTAGTTCCAGTGAAGGGAAATCTTAACACTACAGCATACAATGACATTCTAGATGATTCTGTACTTCCAACTTTGTGGCAACAGTTTGGGGATGTCCCTTTCCTGTTTCAGCATGACGTGCACAAATCGAGGTCCATACAGAAATGGTCAGTCGAGATAGGTTTGGAATAACTTGACTGGCCTGCACAGAGCCCTGACCTCAACCCCATCGAACACCTTTGGGATGAATTGGAATGCCGACTGTGAGCCAGGCCTAACTGCCCAACATCAGTGCCCGACCTCATGAATGCTCTTGTGGCTGAATGGAAGCAAGTCCCCGCAGCAATGTTCCAACATCTAGTGGAAAGTAGGGCTAGGCGATATATTGAATTAATTAGAATGTATGTTTTTGCGCGATATTCCAAATGCCTGTATTGCAGAATCAAGGTTTTTTGTATTTTTCGTTTTTATGAGCGTTGATGTCCGCTTGTTCTCATGTTGTCTTTTTGGTCTCGTCTCGTTCGCTCCTTCTGTGCTGTGCACCTTCCCATTTACACCAGAGATCTGTATATAATGACAAGTTGCTCATGTCTCCGCCCTAACAATGGGAGTCATTGTTTGAAAGGCGGGAAGGCAGGCGACAAGCTTAGGTTCAAAATAAGCACATAGAAACGCATTGGGCTTATTTTGGACAGATTTTAGCGAGAGTTAAACCTCTCGCTTCGCCTCTTTCTCCCAAGTCCCTCCCCCTACCACTTACAAAAACAAAGAAGATATCTCTTTTTCTTCTCTGACAAACGGTTTCAACTTGCTATTTGCATTTAAGGTTTGGTCCAACAGAATCGGTCATATGGACACTGAAATACATGGAGACATTATTTTACTGTAATAGAGGAGAAGTTCACCTTTCGAACCTCCTCAAATTTCGAGCAGAGCAGACACTACTAAAACAGATGTACCAATGAACATTCATTCTGTAAAATTAATGCTCAGTTTGTCGCGCGCGCATTACGGTACCACGTATCTCTAGCAGCATTTTTGTCAAATAAAGATTGTTATACTAGCTGTTTAGTCTGTGTTTTATAAATGTGCAATAAGCATAAAACAAATGTATAAGGAACTGGCAACTCATTCTCATTCTGAGAAATAAGATAGGACACTTTATTTCAACATCTGTTCAAAAAGTTGGAGACGGACAGAAGGTTGTGTTCGTAACAATTCAACTGTTTTGCCGTGTTAGCTGAATTCAGAGCTTGTGAAATTATACCTAGATGCAAGTTGGCTAAACATGAAATATAAATATTAGCTTTCTACTTACTAGCACGTGGGCTTGTGCTTGAGAGATTGTTTATGAGACCGGTGTTCATTTTCTATAATGCCTGCTACATTATTAGTGAATGTGCATTATGCATGGTTCTGGTCAAATTTGTAACAAAAAGGGCCTTTTTATAGACAGACCTGAAAGCCAGATCAGTGATTTTTGCAAAAAAAAGCATGTACAACTATTTTCATAAATTAATTACATTATTAGTGGGTCTTATGGTTGTTGAAGGCATATATTCAGCCTAGGTATAATTTCACAAGCTCTGAATTCATTAGATTATTGCTGACTGTTTTAAATGCAGTGTATTTTACCTTTAATTGTACAACAAAGCTTATTTAGAGAAAACGTTTAAATATTCGAGATATATATTGTGAATCTCCCATAAGTTTGAGAAAATTGAGATATGTGTTTTAGGCCATAACGCCCAGCCCTAGTGGAAAGGCTGTTATAGCAGCAAAGGGGGGACCAACTCCATATTAATGCCCATGATTTTGGAATGAGATGTTCGACGAGCAGATGTCCACATACTTTTGGTCATGTAGTGTATATTTGCCACTGCTCGACAAAAAATAATCTTGGGTCGACCAACAGCCTATCGACCAAACAATCGACCAGTCGACTAACTGGGGTCAGCCCTAATACAGTGCTTTCAGAAAGTATTCATACCCCTTGACTTATTCCACATTATGTTGTGTTACAGCCTGAATTCAAAATGGATTAAATATATGTTTTCCTCACCCATCTACACACAATACCCCATAACAACAAAGTGAAAACATGTTTTTGGAAATGTTAGCAATTTAAAAAAAAATGAAATACAGAAATATCTAATTTACATAAATAAGTATTCACACCCCTGAGTCAATACATGTTAGAAACCACTTTGGCAGCGATTACAGCTGTGAGTCTTTCTGGTTAAGTCTCTAAGAGCTTTGCACACCTGGATTGTACAATATTTGCACATTATTCCTTAAAAAATTCTTCAAGCTCTGTCAAGTTGGTTGTTGATCATTGCTAGACAGTCATTTTCAAGTCTTGCCATTGACTTTCAAGCCGATTTAAGTCAAAACTGTAACTAGGCCACTCAGGACATTCAATGTCGTCTTGGTAAGCAACTCCAGCATAGATTTGGCCTTGTGTTTTAGGTTATTGTCCTGCTGAAAGGTGAATTTGTTTCCCAGTGTTTGTAGGAAAGCACACTGAACCAGATTTTGCCTGTGCTTAGCTCTGTTCCATTTCTTTTTATCCTAAAAAACTCCCCAGTCCTTGCCGATGACAAGCACACCCATAACATGATGCAGCCACCCCCATGCTTAAAAATTATGTGTTGTGTTGGATTTGCCCCAAACACAACGCTTTGTATTGAGGACATAAAGTTAATTTCTTTGCCACATTTTTCGCAGTTTTACTTTAGTGCCTTATTGGAATATTTGCATTATGTACAGGCTTCCTTCTTTTCACTCTGTCATTTAGGTTAGTATTGTGGAGTAACTAGTATTGTGTGTAGGCCGGTGACACAAAATCTCAATTTAATCCATTTAAAATTCAGGCTGTAACACAACAAAATATGGAAAAAGTCAAATGTGTGAATACATTCTGAAGGCACTGTAGTTCTTCAACTACCACAAACTTACTTTTAAAGAGTTGTCATCACTACATATTTCTCTCCCAAAATAATAGCCTACAACTTTCTAATCATTACATCACCATTCACCTAAAATCAAACTTCATTCACACTGAACGTTTTACAAATGTAAATCGTGCATCTAGTTATCTGAAACCCACAGCATGATTGATTCAGAGTTGCTTTGCTTTCCTAAGAGTGTTGTCCACATGATCCTGCTTTTTATTCCCATCTTCTAACGGAAGATCGCTTTGTTCTATGTCTTTCTTCTTTTAGTTTTCACACGCAACAACTGTAGTTGAGACATTTTTGTGATCTAACTGCCCCACAATCCAAATGAATATGGTTGATATAGTAGTCTATCAAAGTAATCAGACCAATTATTTTACTACATTAAACTTCGACTATATGCAACTACTTTGCTTTAAATAGTAAAGTAAAACTTTTTAAACTTCTACCACTACCACAAAAATACTTTTAATGAGTTAAAGCAAGTCCCACCAATTGTACATCATGTACAATTACCATCTAGTTGACCAACAAAAACACACACAGCACCAATGAAGAGGGCAACAGACAGAGAGAAAGAGAGAAATATAGGCACCTGTCTTTCACTTCCACTACTCCCAAAAGTTTGCCGGAAGCCATTTTGAATGGCAGAGGAGAGCCCCTCCATGCTGAACCGCTAGAGAGGAAGGAAGTGAAGCAGAGAAATGGGAAGTAAGAGGCACAGAAACAGGAAACAAGCAGATAAAGAGAGAAGGAACCATGTGCAAGGTTTAAAAGGTCAATATCCCCAAAACAATAAACCAGTAACTGAGTTTGTAAAAAGAGGGAAGTAATAAGGTAAGTGGAGACATCTGTACAAGCAAGAAATAAGTTGTATAAGGTTTGAATACATTTAAAAGGTTACTAAAACTGTCCACTCTGAATGTAAGTAATGCTATAAAGCAGTGGCATCAGCAGGCATTGTGTGTGTTTGTGTGTGTGCGTGTGTGTGTGTGTGCACGCACAGCATGGTGTCACTCACTGATCCTAGTGCTTGTGTTCTCTCTGGTCGGCCCTGCGGGGCCCCGGCACCACTCTTGATTATTTTTTTCTTCTTCAGTAATTCCCTGTGTTCCTTCTGTCTGTTCTGCACATCTATCAGGATAGAGATGAAGCTGTTCTTCACCTCTTTTTCAAAGTCCAGCTCGTCCCTTAGGGCCAGGTGTTGAATCAGATCCTCACTGTAACGTCTGATGGCTATCTCTACCTCCTCTAGCAGCTCATTCAGCTCTGCTACACACAGGGTCCTCTCTCCTGCACACACACACACACACACACAGAGAAATGTAGCATAACAATGCAAACCCACTTTCAACCTACCGCTCTCTCTCCCTCACACCATTTACACACACACACACACACCACACACATGCACGCACGCACACACACACACACCTAACTGACAGAGATATACTCACGCTCTTCATAGCTGTGATTTGTGCTGGAGAGCTGGATGTCCAGAGAGAGCATGGAGAGGTCTGACTGAGAGGGGTGGTTCTGCTCTGCCTCCAGGTCAGGAGAGTCCTGCATCATCTCCTCGATCTCCTCAATAACCTACAATACACAAGGTAACACCAAACATTTGGGATCAATTCCATTTCTATTCCTGTCTGTTGCATTGGACATTTCTCCATGTAGTGCAATTCCATTCCTTGGAATGAAATTCTATTCCTGAATGTACTGGACATTTCGATAGAATAGACCCCAACTCTGGTTAACACACAAACACAGGCTCAGTCCACCTGTCATCTGTCTATGTGAAGCACATTCAAGCAACAGGCACAAGCCCCATTCCCAGCTCTGCTCCACTGTATTCTAGCGTTGATAAAGTGCAGGTCAGTCTTGGTCTATTCCAGGCAGAGCTGTGGGTTGGTAGGTTGGTAAATTGGTGGGTAGCCCTACCTGTTCTGCGGTGAAGAGGGGTTCGTCGTTGAGGCAGGAGACGATGATGGTGTGCATGTCCATCTGTTCCCTCAGCTCCTCATCGTCAGACAGCTCCAGTGTTACATCATCCACCCTCTGACAGGTCAGGGGGAGGGGATTTAATCAAAACTAAATCCTGGCACAATGGATTCTGAATTTTAGATTGGGGCCATAAACAGATTGGACAGGAAGGTAGGGATAGAGGGAGAAAGAGAGAAAAAGAGAGAGAGAGAGTGGGGGATGAAAGGAAAGGGGCAAAGAAAGAACCCTCTATGAAGCAAGAACTTGACTCACTGGTTTGTCTTCAAGTTTTAGAGTGGGGAGATGGAGGGAGCGCGTTCGAGACTGTTTCCAGTCCACTGCCATGACATTACCATAATTATCTGCGAGAGCATTCCAGATCCTGTGGAGGAAATGAGATGAGAGACACAAACAAGTGAACTCCACTACCTGTAGGACCAAAGCGCATGTACAGAAGTGATAGCTAACTTCTAATAATGGTCAACAGTGGTTATATTTGTCATAATGACAATGCACTGTGCATGTAGCCAAATATTGGTTACTAAGGGACAGATGCCACAAAGGTCACAAACATCTTACAAAAGATTTACCCAGATGATACTGTACATTTTCGATCAAAAACATAAATTGGATGCAGAAAGATGTAATGAGGACTAATCCACCAGCTGTGCAATATGTTTGGACTGTTGATAATGCTACAGCCGCACTGCTTTAAGACAGTATTATGAATAAATCCCCTTGGAGAGTTCATCAATGAGCTTGACGCCTTGATAAGTTCCTTTCCTGAGGATGGCTCACCCCTCACAGTTCTGGGTGATTTCAACCTCCCTACGTCTACATTTGACTCATTTCTCTCTGCCTCCTTCTATCCACTCCTCTCCTCTTTTGACCTCACCCTCTCACCGTCCCCACCTACTCACAAGGCAGGCAATACGCTTGACCTCATCTTTACTAGATGCTGTTCTTCTACTAATCTCACTGCAACTCCCCTCCATGTCTCCGACCACTACTTTGTATCCTTTTCTCTCTCGCTCTCCTCCAACACTACTCACTCTGCCCCTACACAGATGGTAATGCGCCGTCGCAACCTTCGCTCTCTCTCTCCCGCTACTCTCTCCTCTTCCATCCTATCATCTCTTCCCTCTGCTCAATCCTTCTCCCTCCAATCTCCTGATTCTGCCTCCTCAACCCTCCTCTCCTCCCTTTCTGCATCCTTTGACTCTCTATGTCCCCTATCCTCCCGGCCGGCTCGGTCCTCCCCTCCAGCTCCGTGGATTGATGACTCATTGCGAGCTCACAGAACAGAGCTCCGGGCAGCTGAGCGGAAATGGAAGAAAACTAGACTCCCTGCGGACCTGGCATCTTTTCACTCCCTCCTCTCTACATTTTCTTCATCTGTTTCTGCTGCTAAGGCCACTTTCTACCACGCTAAATTCCAAGCATCTGCCTCTAACCCTAGGAAGCTCTTTGCCACATTCTCCTCCCTGCTGAATCCCCCCTCCCTCTCTGTGGATGACATTTATTTACATTTACATTTACGTCATTTAGCAGACGCTCTTATCCAGAGCGACTTACAGGAGCAATTAGGGTTAAGTGCCTTGCTCAAGGGCACATTGACAGATTTTTTCACCTAGTCGGCTCGGGGATTAGAACCAGCGACCTTTCGGTTACTGGCACAACGCTCTTACCCACTAAGCTACCTGCCACCCACTAAGCTACCTGACTTCGTCAACCACTTTGAAAAGAAGGTTGACGACATCCGATCCTCGTTTGTTAAGTCAAATGACACTGCTGGTCCTGCTCACACTGCCCTACCCTATGCTTTGACTTCTTTCTCCCCTCTCTCTCCAGATAAAATCTTGCGACTTGTGACTGCAGGCCGCCCAACAACCTGCCCGCTTGACCCTATCCCCTCCTCTCTTCTCCAGACCATCTCCGGTGACCTTCTCCCCTACCTCACCTCGCTGATCAACTCATCCTTGACCGCTGGCTATGTCCCTTCCGTCTTCAAGAGAGCGAGAGTTGCACCCCTTCTCAAAAAACCAACACTCGATCCCTCTGATGTCAACAACTACAGACCAGTATCCCTTCTTTCTTTTCTCTCCAAAACTATTGAGCGTGCCGTCTTTAGCCAACTCTCTTGCTATCTCTCTCAGAATGACCTTCTTGATCCAAACCAGTCAGGTTTCAAGACTGGTCATTCAACTGAGACTGCTCTTCTCTGTGTCACGGAGAATCTCCGCACTGCTAAAGCTAACTCTCTCTCCTCTGCTCTTGTCCTTCTAGACCTGTCTGCTGCCTTTGATACTGTGAACCATCAGATCCTCCTCTCCACCCTCTCCGAGCTGGGCATCTCTGGCGCGGCTCACTCTTGGATTGCGTCCTACCTGACCGGTCGCTCCTACCAAGTGGCGTGGCGAGAAGCTGTCTCCGCACCACGTGCTCTCACCACTGGTGTCCCCCAGGGCTCAGTTCTAGGCCCTCTCCTATTCTCGCTACACACCAAGTCACTTGGCTCTGTCATATCCTCACATGGCCTCTCCTATCATTGCTACGCTGACGACACACAACTAATCTTCTCCTTTCCCCCTTCTGATAACCAGGTGGCGAATCGCATCTCTGCATGTCTGGCAGACATATCAGTATGGATGACGGATCACCACCTCAAGCTGAACCTTGGCAAGACGGAGCTGCTCTTCCTCCCGGGGAAGGACTGCATGTTCCATGATCTCGCCATCACGGTTGACAACTCCGTTGTGTCCTCCTCCCAGAGTGCGAAGAGCCTTGGCGTGACCCTGGACAACACCCTGTCGTTCTCCGCTAACATCAAGGCGGTGACCCGATCCTGTAGGTTCATGCTCTACAACATTCGGAGAGTACGACCCTGCCTTACACAGGAAGCGGCACAGGTCCTAATCCAGGCACTTGTCATCTCCCGTCTGGATTACTGCAACTCGCTGTTGGCTGGGCTCCCTGCCTGTGCCATTAAACCCCTACAACTCATCCAGAATGCCGCAGCCCGTCTGGTGTTCAACCTTCCCAAGTACTCTCACGTCACCCCCCTCCTCCGCACACTCCACTGGCTTCCAGTTGAAGCTCGCATATGTTACAAGACCATGGTGCTTGCCTATGGAGCTGTGAGGGGAACGGCACCTCCGTACCTTCAGGCTCTGATCAGTCCCTACACCCAAACGAGGGCATTGCGTTCATCCACCTCTGGCCTGCTGGCTCCCCTTCCTCTGCGGAAGCATAGTTCCCGCTCAGCCCAGTCAAAACTGTTCGCTGCTCTGGCACCCCAATGGTGGAACAAGCTCCCTCACGACGCCAGGACAGCGGAGTCACTCACCACCTTCCGGAGACATTTGAAACCCCACCTCTTTAAGGAATACCTGGGATAGGATAAAGTAATCCTTCTACCCCTCCCTTACCCCAGCCCCCCCCCCCCCCCCCCCCAAAAATAAATAAAAAATAAATAAAAAAAATAAAAAAAATATTATGAAATAAGAAAAAAGTAAAAATGTAAATAAAAAAAACACATCGTAAAGTGGTTATCCCACTGGCTATAAGGTGAATGCACCAATTTGTAAGTCACTCTGGATAAGAGCGTCTGCTAAATGACGTAAATGTAAATGTAATAGTGAAAAGGGGAAGGGTGAGACATTAATAACTAATGTATCATTTATAAACAGCATTGCCTAATACTAACTATATATTAACCACAAACAGATCAGTGGGATCAACTATCTCTACCCAAGACATGAGCCAAATCTTTCATCTTTTCGGAGGGGATAAATGTGAATTGTCCTATTTATTCTGAACTCCAGGGATGGGTTTTTGGGTCAACATTTTAATCTAGAGTTTAGTGGGATGTCTTTGTTAGGCATATTTGGGACACAATGCACTGACATGTTGTCAACTGAGATTATGTGAGCTCTGAGATCTAGCTTGATGGAGCAGTCACATGACCATTGATAACGTTGCTTATTGACAAGTCATCAGCACAACTGACAGTATGTGCATAGCAACAATAATGCATGAAAAAGCATAATTATAAACGTAAACTTCTAGTGAAATTAATGTAGCATTACTGTTAGACTATAGCAATATTCTCGAATAGGTGTAAATATGATATAAGCCTATCTGATACAATGTGTCGGCAGCTTGCATCAACCATCAATACACGTGACAGCATGTTTGAGTGGAACGCAATTATGCAGAGCGAGACATTGAAATGTGATAGTATGTTGCAAGGGAAGAACGGTCTTGTTACAAACTAACTTCGCATACTCACTCGTCGTTCCTCAATGTTGTATCCTCGGTGATAATGTTTACATGGGCAATGTTCTCATTTTTTATGTTGAAATTTCGGAAACACACTGTCAATTTCTCGTCGAAATCGTTCACCAGATCTTCCATGGACTTGAAGCTGCCTACTTCGACAGAAAAGCTGTTGTTGAGCTCTGGAAGGACCTTCAGATCGCCTGTCACATGCTCGACAACCAAGTTTACTCGGTCCATCCGAGTCCCCTGCTCTGAAACCGGCTCAAATTCCTTTAAATCGTGCCACTCATCATCGAAATGCGCAACGGGCGCCGCCATGGCTGCCGCACGAAACACCCTATGTGCCTCTGATGAATGATGTATGCGGCGATGGAATGTCAGGACATAGCATCCTAGGGTGGGGGCTGTGTCTCTGTGGACCGGTCCGAAAACTGCTTTTCGCCACCTCCAAGGTCCTAACCACTTGGTTTTTGCAGAGCTATAAAAACGGGATAGGTGCAAGCAATATGGTAATATAACGACATTCGGGGAGCATACGCCTTATTGCTTACACCTTTCTGGGATTTACAGATCTGCAATCACTGAACACTAAGGACAAAGGAAATTGGAACCAGGGGTTCCCTCTCACAAAATGACCCTTTGACACAAAAACCTAACCAAATGTATTCACAAAGATGGAGACTAAACAAAGTATAATTTGTAGTCCCAAGACCCAAACTATGGAATTGAATGAAATTTACACAATAATAGTAGCTTAGCTAGGCTACAATCAAATTCAGACCAGTCACCAGAGAATGACTAGACATTTTGATGCTTCAAAGACTCATTTTACATTGGTTTGCAAACATTCTGGGCCAACATCATTTTGCTCTTGTATAGCAACACTACAAAGCGGCACCCCAACATCTGAAACAGAAGCAATAGGTTTCCTTAGAAAGAATGACAGAATGTTCAACTGCACAACACATGTTATGCACGAAAACATAATTATTTCATACTAATTACCTATTGTTAGGTAACACTTTCCTTGACACCCAGCTTCATAACACTTTATGAAAGTCATAAACCTGTCATAATATGGTCATAACACTGTCATGACCCATATATTTACACATGTTGTGACATATTTCTTTATTTTATGTCTGGTTATGACACCTAAATAAGAGTGTCAAAACCCACATTTATTCAAATGTATTTTTTCCCTGCCAAGAACTTTCCTTTCGTTTAAAAATGTGTTTCTTAAGTCCTTTGTTGTTGTTTTAAGGAATTCTTTACAGTCATGTTTTTTTTCATCATATTTTAAATAACTTGTAGAAAATACACTTTATGACACTGCCATGAAACATTATGACCATCCGATGTCACTTTACTTGGACTAAGAAAATACACTTTATGACACTGTCAAGAATCATTATGACCATCATAATCATATAGGCCTATCACGTACATGCCCTTATGTCAGTCATCAGTCAAAAAGAGTGTTTCTTGTCCTGCTTCTGAAATCTGCTCCTGCATTCATCCCAGTCATCAGCAACAGAGCATTGGGGAAGGTGCATGTCTGACATCAATTTGTGCGCAATTACAATAATAATTGAATATGGTCAATTTCAGAAAATTGTATATAACAGAAACATAATGTTGACAAGTGGGCTATATGATTCAAATGTAAAATGTAAATGGAAAGTTTTGTCTTGTGGGTTTTGACACTCTTATGTAGGTGTCATAAGCAGCCATAAAATAACTACTGTGGTAGGTTTTGTGGGTTTTGACACTCTTATGTAGGTGTCATAACCAGCCATAAAATAACACAATATATGTCACAACAGGTCTAAATATATGTGTCATGACAGTGTTATGACCATATTATGACAGGTTATGACAAGTTATGACATATTATGACATGGTTACGACCGTGTCATAACGTGTTATAATGCTGGGTGTCAAGTAAAGTGTTACCTATTGTTATTTATGTTGTCCTATATGCTATTACTGTGTTAGTCTGGTGCTATTATAACTGAGTAATCTTTGCAGTGATAAACACTTTACCTTAGTTTTTACCATTGCCTTATCGGTGCCAGTGGGACTATCTTTTTGCACCTCTCCCTTTTTGCAATTGATCCGTGCATTCAAGATTAATTCCTTTCCAATCACAATCTGTATTAATGGCAAGAAAAAGTTCATTGGTTCAGTAACAATCATACATTAGACAACAACATACAGTAGGCTACAGCTATCCCTGACAACCATTATCATTACAGCATTACCAATGGAAAACACAAACAGCAGAACCTTACACAATTTCTATAACAATACAACCAAAAAGTGTGTGCTCAGCATACACTCCCAATTTTAGGGGAAACACGGGCGAGCTCACCTGAAGCAGTTTGTACTTGAAGTTAAGAACTTTGTAGAAATACTCATTAGATTTTTGGTTGAATGAGCCCAGAGCAAAGGCCATAGCTTCATTGGCCTCAAGCTGGACATTATACCCCAATATGCATATACAGTGGCTTGCAAAGTATGACGCCTTTTCCAAAATGCAGGCGACCAAATTACCAGCCCATCGCTCGGGGGATTGCGCGATAAACCTCTTGTTAGACGCTGTGCCACCCAGGAGTCATGTAAATCTCTGTCGCAGGCCGAAACGGAGGCTATGGAAACATACGTCTCCGAGTCCCTGCTTCAGGGGTTCGTACGTCCCTCCACTTCACCCGCCTCCTCAAGTTTATTTTTTGTGAAGAAGAAAGACGGGGGTCTGCGCCCTTGCATTGATTACTGTGCACTTAATAAAATTAAAATTCGCTATAGTTATCCTCTACCCCTCATTTCCTCTGTGATCGAATCAATGCATGGGGCGCGCTTCTTCACGAAATTAGATCTCAGGAATGCGTACAACCTGGTGGGTGTCCGGGAAGGGGACGAATGGAAGACAGCATTTAGCACCACCACGGGGCATAATGAATACCTGGTGATGCCGTATGTGTTGATGAATGCTCCATCAGTCTTCCAGTCCTTTGTGAACGAGGTGTTTCGGGACATGCTTGGTCGCGGTGTGGTGGTCTACATCGATGACTGTGATGAGTGTGATGAAAGGAGTCAGGCGCAGGAGGGTAATCACCAATACAGAGTTTATTCCTTTGTTGACACACAAATGCGCTCAAATAGCGATCAACGAAACAGGCACAGGGGAAACACTCATCCCTGGCAAATACACTGTAACGGTAGAATCCAATAATACATAGGCACAGGGGAAAATCTAACCTGGCAACAAAATGTACGAGTAGCTTCACCGAGCTATACTACTCTCACAACTAACAATCACCCACAAGGACAAGGGGGCAGAGGGAACACTTATACACGGACTAATGAGGGGATTAGAACCAGGTGTGTGTGATTGACAAGACAAATGTGATGATGATTGGGGCGGCAGTGGTTAGTAAGCCGGTGACGACGAACGCCGAAGCCTGCCCGAACAAGGAGCGGAGGCAGCCTCGGCCGATGTCGTGACAACGACATCCTGGTGTATTCTGCTACGTGCGCCAAGCATGTGTCCCTGGTTCGCAGAGTGCTTGGGCGACTGTTGGAGCATGACCTGCATGACAAGGCAGAAAAATGTCTGTTCTTCCAACAATCCGTCTCCTTCCTCGGAAACCACATCACACCTCATGTGTGGAGATGGAGGGAGACCGCATTTCAACTGTGCGTAATTGGCGACTCCAACCACGGTTAAGGAGGTGCAGCGCTTCGTTGGGTTTGCCAATTACTATCAGAGGTTTATCTGGAGCTTTGGCAAGGTCTCAGCCTCCATCACCTCTCTGTTGAAAGGTGGGCCATCCAGGCTCCGCTGGTCTAGTGAGGCTAACAGGGCTTTCAGTACCCTGAGGGCTCTGTTCACCTCAGCCCCAGTACTGGCCCATCCCGATCCCTCATTGCCATTCGTAGTGGAGGTGGACGCGTCCGAGGTAGTATTGGGGATTTATTATTCTCCTAAATTGATGGGATGACTAACTTAGAAAGAATGCATTCTTGACTGGGCTAATGTAGGCTGTGACACCTGGCAAGGCTGTGATTGATGTGAAGAGCTGTTTTAGGGGGTAAAGGGAGATAAGGATTTGCCTCCAAATGCTAGACTATACTAGTTCTTTGTGATCTGTGAGCCTTCCTTGGACGTAGGAATGATGTCTAAGGGAGCTGGCTCTTCTCACTATGATAGGTTGTTATGATAATCTTGTGCCTGGCTGAAGTGTGCAACAAATGGCGCCGAGGAGATGAGACCAACCCCTGAATCAATGGATTGGCTGAGTAAGTTTAAACCACACTCAGTCCTCTACTCTAATTGGCCAGCAGAGAAGTGGGAAACTTTCTCTGTCAGAGTATTTGGGTATTGTTTCTAAAACAATGTTGTTAGTTCTCTGGAGTGTCCTGCGAGGCATCTCAGAGAGCCCGTATATACGAAACATCATATTTACCATTGAAGGTTTTTGCATTAATTAAAATAACTAGTATATCTTAGAAGTCGTGTTGACCTCTTTTGTTCCTGATACCAGATTTGAATTGACGCGACTTTGACAGTAGGGGTAGGCGTTGTCCTATCCCAACTTTCGGGCACACCACTCAAGATCCACCCCTGTGCCTTCTTCTCTGAGAAACACAGCCCGGAGGAGCAGAACTATGACGTTGGTGATCGGGAGCTGTTGGCTTTTGTCAGAGGCCTGACAGCATGGAGGAACTGGCTCGAGGGGGCTAAACACCCTATCCTCGTCTGGACTGACCACCGTAACCTGGAGAATATCCGGGCAGCGAGGAGGCCGAACCCTCGGCAGGCCAGGTGGGCCTTGTTCTTCACCCGGTTTGATTTCACGCTGTCCTATATACCAGGCACTAAGAACGTGAAGGCAGATTCACTGTCATGGCTGTACGACACAGAGGAGAGGCCCATTGATAACACCCCCATACTCCCGGCCTCCTGCATTGTGGCGCCAGTGGTGTGGGCGGTGGACGCAGACATAGAGCGGGCGTTACACACAGAACCATCTCCACCTCAGTGCCCAGCTGGGCTTCGGTACGTGCCGTCTAGTGTCCGTGATCGTCTTATCTATTGGGCACACACGTCCCCCTCCTCTGGTCACCCAGGCATCGGAAAGACAGTGCGCTGCTTTACCGGGAAGTACTGGTGGCCTACCTTGGCTGAGGACGTGAGGGTATATGTCTCCTCCTGCTCAGTGTGCGCCCAAAGTAAGGCACCTAGGCACCTTCCAGCAGGTAAGTTACATCCCTTACCAGTTCCTCAACGGCCATGGTCCCACTTATCGATCCATTTTCTAACTGATCTTCGCCTCTCTCAGGGTAACACCACCATCCTGGTCGTTGTGGACCGCTTTTCTAAAGCTTGTCGCCTCCTTCCTCTGCCCGGTCTCCCCACGGTCCTGCAAACTGCGGAAGCCCTGTTTACTCATGTCTTCCGGCACTACGGGGTG